CAAGTGCACGTCACACACTGAGCGAGCCGCCTGTTAATGACGCTGTGGGCTAATGGGCATGTAGCTACTTCCATGTTTCAGATGATACGTCATGTTTGTAGTCGACCAATGAAGATGAGTTTACATATCACCTTGGGTTCGTCCTTCACCTTCTCAAAATGATCCCACACTTTGGATTCCTGCCTGACATGTTATTAACTAGCCTGTGGAATAACCGCAGTTACCAGCCCTGGAAATTAGAGGCCATACACGTGCTGCATCTTTAACTTCCTGGAAAAGGTGAGGTCAGGCACTGGGCGCTACTCTTGTGCTTTTTTGTGTCAGCTTTCAATAGTGCGTTGGCAGGTTGCATCTGCATCTTATTTACCTGAAATCCTGAGTGCAGAGCTGATCTTCTTCCAGGCGCTGTTTATAAGTGTAAGATGTAAAGCTCTGGGTAGCCCTGCACTAACATGATCAACTTTTCCGTATTTATCAGACTGAATATTTACAGAAGAAGGGAAAGATATCTGTCAGCTGTGATTGGTTTGTAACGTGACTGCTGAGCACGGCCACTTCCTGTGTCTGTCCTCTCAAATTAAATTCACACACGGTCCAGTCATATAGGTTTTGATTTATTTTGACAAGACGCCGCTCCTAACAGAGTTTAAGTTTTTTCTTTCTGCGACTAAGCGACCAATGAAATCTTGCCGACTCATGACCTTTTTTGATAACAAACGTGTGGTCGACTGTTAGGGGGCAGCACTAAAACCTATGCATTTTTGATTTTGGGGTGAACTATCCCTTTAAGATAGAGGTACATCTATCCTACCTGTAGCTGAAATCATCCACTTCCTTGCTGAAACCAGAAAACCAATCTAAACAATCTTAAAAATGGTTTAATACTGAACGCAACTTTGCTCTAACTTGTGTGACATTTTGTGACTCTTCTGTGACTATCTCCAGATGTTGCTCCAGAAGCTCCTCCGAGCAGAGCACCGCAGGTCATCCTACACCCTGTCATGTCCGAACCAGGGTGAGTAGATTCTATTACAGAAGTAATTCAATAAAAACCATATGTCTGCCTTTCAAGAAATTAAGAAAGTACTTCTGATCTTCATCAGGCCCTCTCAGTTGTCTCATCTCCTCCTCCCTCTTCTCCTTCTCTCTCTGGCCGCTGGTCAGAGGCCAAGTCAAACTTATTGGAGCACAGATATTTGGGTGACAATTTCGATGCGAGAGCCGACATGACGGATACTCAGACTAATGTTAGCATGGCCTTTAGTTCACGCTACACTTGGGATGCCAACTGGATTTTCACTGGCTCTTTGAGGAAGCCAGTGGTCACAGGAAAACAACCGGAAGAGGAGGAGGAGTGATGAGATGCCTTTCGACCCAGATGTTAATCAGATCAGGATCTCAATCTATCACAAGAAACAGGGCAAAATAACCTCCATCTATAGGCGGATGGTCAATTGTGTTTAAATATGGATCATACCCATAGATTGTAATGGATTAATCGATAGCAAGTAATGTTAATTTAATTTTCTAAATATCAACACGGTCTCAAAAGGTCCTGGACATAGGGAGGCTGATGGTATGAGTGTCTAATTATGGTATAGGGCACGGGGCTGTATATGTTAGTGATGTATTTGGATGAAAAAAAATCTATTTGACGTCTTCATGCTACATTCCTGAAACAGCTGTCAGCTTTGAGATAAAAATTGTGAGGCAGCGTCTGGAAATAATGAGAATCAGAGGGAAATATAGAACAATAACTAATGATGTGCATACATCCCAGTAGGCTCAATATGTGTGGACAGGAGGGGATTGTTTTGAGGTCTAGAGCAAAATTCATTACCATAATATAATGATGTGTCAAAGGTTATTTTCTGTATGTTCAGATTATATTCAAATGCACAAGGTGCAACAAATGCATGTAGGAATTCTATTTTTTTTTTAAAAGTAGGATAAGAATAAGAAAGAGTTGTCTTTATATTCACACTGGGCTGACTGTGAAAAAAGTTGCAGCTGTGTGCAGTTGATCTCTCGGGGAGGGAAACGCAGTGAGGACAAGATGGTCATATTCATTGGGCTATAATAGACCCTTATTGTCAGCCAAATGGGTATACAGGCAAGTACAAACTGTGTAGCTCATCATGAAACAATTGTTTGTTGTCAAGCCTTTAACAATTACAACTCCCATGTGGCTTTGACAGCTAAGAGCTCGGATATTATTTTGTCATTTGCTAACATAATAATCTTAGTTTGAACAGGACCTATTATGCTGATTTTCAGGTTTGTACTTGTATTTTGGGTTTCTACTGGGACTTGTTTCATTCGTTCATTTTCCTGTCTGTACTGGAACAGACGTAGGTCTATTTACCCTCTGTCTGAGACGCTCCATTTTAGCGCTTGTCTCTTTAAGCCCCCTCCTGAAAAGCCCAGTCTGCTCTGGTTCGTCAGTATTTCCAGATTTCCCCCATCTTGGCATCTCTGCACTGTCACTGCATGCCGGGAGTGACTATGACTGAGAATAGGGACACTTTCTACCATGCTGTATAACCAATTAAAGCTTCTAAACACAGCCGGACATGTTCCAGCGGAGTATGATCCGTAATCTGGGATAAATTTACAACAGCATCATCAAGATTACATGTTTCCCAGACTTTAGCATGGAGCTACATGTAGCAATGTACTTGCAGCTGGGGAATTACTGCATATTGTAGCGCTATTTCCCCATTAAAAATCACAAATTAAAGCTTCTAAACACAACTGGACATGTTCCAGCAGGAATCTAATCCAAAATCAGGGAGAAATTAAAACCATCATTAACCAAGACTCCATGTTTCTCTGACTTTAGCATGTAGCTACATGTAGCAGTGTTGCAGCTGGGGAATTACTGTATATTGTAGCACTATTTCCCCATTAAAAATCACCAATTAAAGCTTCTAAACACAACCAAACATATACCAGCAGGAATCCAAAATCAGGGAGAAATTAACAACATCAGCAACCAAGATTACATGTTTCTCTGACATTATCATGTAGCTACATGTAGCAGTGAATTTGTAGTCAGGTGATGACTGTGTATAGCGGCAGTTTTTCCCATTGAAAATCCCCAGTAAAAGCTTCTAAACACAACTGGACATGTTCCAGCAGGAATCTGATCCAAAATCAGGGAGAAATTAACACCATTGGCAACTAACATGTTTCCTGACGTTAGTGTGTAGCTACGTGTAGCAGTGTGGGCTACATCATGTAAACACTTGCAGTGCCTGGAGCAGATGATCATTTATAGAAATTGATCATAATCTGATGTCTTGTAGCTAAAGGAGAGAAGAAAGTGTTGGTAACAGAGTATTCAGAAAGGTCTGAAGCCTGAGGTTGGTGGTTCCGTTCATCATCCATCATGTGTAAATGACAGAAAATAAGGAAAAGCATAATAGGTCCCTTTAACCTTTTATCAAAATGATTATGTTCTAAAATGTTACAGTCCATACAACAGTAGACTAGATACCCCACTGGCTTGTTTTAAATATCCCTTAAATGCTATGTTCTCACTTCTTAAAAAACATCAATGGCACAAACTATGTTTCAGCTAAAACATTGTAAAGGCCCATTTATGCTCAACGTTAAATACGAATCCGGATACGGACGGAGCCTTCTGTCCGTGCTCTGCATTCATTTTGTCCGTATTTCTGCATGTTTCCATAAAGCTTACGGATACGGGCCAAACGGAGCAGTACCACTTGAAACCGTGGGGGCAGTGTTGCTGTCACTACCCGATACGTAGCTCTAGTGAGACACGAAGAAGAAATGACAATGGCGGTTATCGAATGCCCCCGCGGTCATCCTAAAGTCCTGGAAATGACGCTCGTCGTCAGTTTCTCCCATTGGCAGTACTAGAGACTTTGTCTTTTATGCAAGAGGTACATTATCAATATCTCCTCCACAGTCGTCATGTTTGTTTTTGAGTTTGTTGTTGTCATAAACTTTTGACACTGGGCTGCCCCCTGGTGGATATATTGGTTAACATCCATGCTAACGTAAAGGACACATGGAAGTATCTGTGCAGTGACGGTAACATCGTTTGAAACGGACGTATACATTTTCGTACATAAAGGGAGCATAAATGGGCCTTTAGGCAGAAGCAAGTAGAACAGGTCAATGGTGAAAGTAAAATCAAGTATCTGTTTCAATGAGTGATAATTTGTCAGTCCTCAACTGTGTTTCTTAGTTTTTGTAGAGTTCCATCAGAACGAATCACAACAGTTCCTCTGTGCACAGAAATGATTATGTCTTAAAGTTTCTCACAAATATTGGATGAATCTGGTGACTGCGATGGCCACGTAATTGATCAATGGCCACTTGTTTCCTAATGATGGAGAGGTAGACTGGAAGAGTGATGAAAGTGGTGCTGACTGGTAAGAGAATGTCTGTGGTCCACTTATTTAAAAGCAGCAAAGCAGGGGTTTTTTTCTGCTCATTGATTTTCTGGATAACACTGATTTTTTTACAGGTGTACTCCAGGCAGAGAAAAACTTAAATTCTCCTGTGGATCTCTGGGAATTTTACAAATAGTCAGTGTTTGGGGGTGTATTGAGAGGCCTTGAACAGCTTTTCTTTTCAGATTTTGTGCATGAGATGGTGGGTCTGAGCCTGAACAAAATACACACAGCGATAAACTGTATATAATTATTTATCATTTTAAAAAAATATATTTTCAGGCTAATTTGCAGGGAGTTATGAAGAGTCGTGGAGCCTGTTTACACCTGGAATTGAGTTTTGGTGATCTGAACACAAGTGGAGAGCTGAGACACATCGCCGTTCAAACCTGTGTCTATCAATGCTGCTCTAACATTTGTTTTCATATTTTGTTACTGCATGCGTTAATGTCAAAGGGCTCCATGCGCAGTTGTTACATCCACACCCTTGCTAGCATGCCTGCTTGTCATGTTGGTAGTTGTGTCAGTACAGCTGGTGATATCGCTGTCAATAGTATCCAACACGTCTCCTTCCATAGGGCAAAACGATGGATGGTTAGATTCAGATTCAGATATTCTTTATAGTTAAACAAACATACAACGAAATTCAGGTGCACTCAAGGACCAGGCCCATATATAAAAATAAGCAATAAATAGTAATAAAAATAAATTCACTCACATTCTACTCAATTGTAGATACACTCCATACACTTATTGTCAACATATGCAGTTAAAATGGAATTTTAAAAAGAGTGCTCATGCATATTACTGCCCATAAAATAAAATTAGTTATTGCAGTTCAGAAAATAGCTTTAATGGTGTAAGTGGCTTTGCTTCACACAACACTTCATCTGACTCATCGCACAATGGGCAACTTACAGAGCATCGGCACACTGACACCAAAACAACTGCCACTATCTGCATTAATGACATAATCTTTGTCAGGGACTCATCAGAACACATTAGCATTTACACTACAGAAGATTTTTGGTTGAATGCATCCCAGACCATCTTGACAAGAGGTTTGAGTGATTGGATCACAGTGCGTATTGGTGGTCGTTTACAGTTGTATTAAGTGCTGTCCACTTGTGATTGAATCCCCCAACATGCATGTTAATACCACGTAAACAGGCTGATGGAGAGGGCATAAAGTTGTTCATTAACAGAACTGTTGCGGGACACAGGGAGATGTTCTTGAGCAAGATATTTAAAAATCTACGTTTAAAGAAATGCTGTCCATTACAGATGCTCATTTTGATTCTTCATATGTCTCCACTGGGATCAGTCAATGAAATCATCAGATTACACCTCAGCTTCTGACGAGACAAGGAGACACAGTATTCCCGGGTGTGTTCTTAATTAAGGCAGCTACATGCAGCTAAACATTTAGAAATGTAATAATGAAGGAACCTCTTGAAAATCTACATGAAAAACAAGCAGTCATCTTGAACCCTCGTGCCTTTGAGTCTCTGCTCATTACTACACCCCTAGATGGACAATGTTACGGTTTCTCACTCTCACAGTCTCTCGTTCTCTGCCTTTTGACGAG